GTTGATATTCTCCCACCCTCATACTCTACTCTTATTTTGTCTCTCATACCCGCCTTCATACCCACTAAATTTGAGACAAGTCGAGGATGAGAATCTCCACTGGAAAAACTATCTGCATCCCACCTATTTACCCATTAAGGATGCCTTATAGAAAATGCATGCCTAATAGAAAATTCTATTAAATTAATTTCAACAAAATAACTACTAATATCTCATAAAAATAAATTAAAATCTTTATGTCAAATCTAATTTCTAACAATAACAAATTAAATCTAAACTTAAACATAAGTAAGAATATATGTAATCGGACGGAGTGGGGATGGGGAGCTTCTCCACTCCCATCTCGCCTCCAAATCAGACAATAAACTAAGATTACATTGTTCGTATTCCTACGAATTGACCAAAGCAAAAAAGAAACAAACGAATGCGTAGAAAGGAGCCTTTGTTCCATGGCTTGTTTTCTCGTTTGCCTTTCACTTTTTTTAGTTGAGCTGTAATTAATTGACCAAAGCAAAAAAGCAAACATATGATTGATAAGATAAATGGAGACAATTAAACAACCACAGACAAAGCCTCAAGGAAGAAAGGGCGTTAACAACAAAAAGAAAAGAATCTGATAAAAACAAAAAAACAAAAACGAAGGAAGAAAATGGAAAATGATTTAAAAATACATTATTGAATTTTTTTAAGGTTTTTTTTTTTTTTTCCTGCAAAACAAAATAATTTAGAAATCTGACTAATACATCTATATGTTCGTTTCTTTAAACGCAAAATTTACATTTTTTTTTTTTTTTTTTGCTCATGAAAATTTCCACGAACTTGAATTGGCCGATATGTTCTACTCTTTCTTGGACCGATTCTGCCTTTTCCACTGATTCAAACTTACACACGCAATAGAATTGCACTAAACAAGGGGAAAATTCTATAAGGCCAAAAGAAAAAAAGATCAAGAGTGATGATTTTTTTTTTCCTCAATAATGATCAAGAAAGTTAAAAGACAAATCCACCGAAAGTGTAAATTGATAGAGAGAAGGCAAAGAATGTTTTTAAGAGTGCTGAAAAGAGAACCCCATGGAGTTCCAGTGAAAATACTGTACTCTAGATTTAAGAAAATTTTGGAAACAAAATTATCTCTAACCATAACAGTATCGAGAAAAAAAATATAAAAACTACAAAAATTTATTTCAAGACAATATTTTTTTTGGATTTTTTCAACATGATAATTTTTTTTTTAAAAAAAATATATACATAAACAATTGATACATAAGTCCTTCAATGAAATTAAGCCGTTTCTCTTAGTTTAGAACTACTGAAAAATAAGTTTGAATGTTCAGTGATAAGAATAATTTACACGGTTAATTAATGACTAAATTAAGCAAATTATATATATATATTTTCTTTTTTTGAAAAAAAGTAACTAAAATAACTAATTCGACTGCTATAGAGCAACGATATCATGTGCAAATTATGGAATTCCGAGCAAAGTTTGAGAGATAAATAAAGAAGCATGAAAAAAAAAAAAAACAACAATCTTCCACGATTGAGCTCATTTTACCATGAACTTATCCAACTTTTTCCGCCATGGGATTACATTTAATCTAATAGTATATATAACGTGTTAATTGAGTGACAATAATATAAAGTACATATACAAGACGACATTTTTAAACTAGCGGTGATACAATATACAAGACGGTATTGTAACAATATTACTTGGTAATTACTAAAACCTCATTCAAAGTACTATAGCTCTTTTTCATAGTTTTGAAGTTTTATTATTATTATTTTTTTGACTGGTGAAGTTTTATTAAGATCTTAAAAAAAATATATATATCATTTTATAATTTCAAATATCAACAATTATAAAAACAATCATTCTTTATGGCAAAACTAAACTCCCATCCATATATATACTTATGATAGAATATTCCAAGACCCTAGTTAACTGTATTGTAGGATGTTTTTGATATTTTTCCTCAACAAAAAAAAAAAAAAAAACTTTTAATATTTGATTAATCAAAAGTACATTAAGCAAATCCCTCTAAAAGATTACTAATGCGCGATGTAAGATATAAAAAGCCTAAAAGTAGACTAGATATTGATTAAAGAAAATTTGAGAATAGGTATATACTAGTAAACGGAAAGGTGTAAAAGATCTTTTCTTTTCTTTTCTTTTCTTTTTTAAACGACGAAGACCACAGTATGCAAGGGTCAATTAAGAAAATACCACTTCTTTTGTAGTGTTATTCAATTCTACTGCTTCTATAGAAAAGTTTAAAATATATTATTATTTCAAGGAATAAAAGGACACTTTTAGTCGCCAGTTTTTTTATAGGGGCATTAATTTAATACCCCATTTAAAACTTTCAATAAAAATATAATCTCACTAGCCTGTAATAATTATAGGCGCAGCTTAGACCGAAAGAAAAAAAATAAGGATTGATCTCACCGGTGCTCTTAAATTTTGATAGCATTCTCATTTTTTGTTCTTTAAATTTTAAAACTCTCATTTTATTCTTTAAATTTTGAATTTGTGTTATTTAAATCATTTTATAAGATTTTTTTGTTAAAATCATATAGAAAAAAACACAGTTAAGTGTGACCGTGTGATTTTTTATTTATTTATTTTTAAGAAAAATTCAAATAAAAAAATAACGTGACTCCATTACCAACAAAACAAAACTATTATAGAAGACAAAAGGTGTAATGGGGGCTACAAAGAATTTAAAAAAAAAAAAAAAAAAAACAAAGTAGGCGTTGAAAATTTGCATAGAAAACGACCAGCCATGTGTGAACTCCAATTTTGACAAAAGAATGCTCTTGTCTAGACTCTAGACTATGAATAATATGTAAAATATAAGTTTTAAAAAATAATATATAAAAAATACTCTATTGATACATCGTTAGATTTCTATTAGGCTAACAGTTTTCCAAATTACATACAATCACTAAATACCCTAATATAAAGAGATTCTGAATATATAGAATACCGGGTGGAATGAAAAAAAAAAAGTTGAATATTCCATTAATTTGTGTACCAAGAATTTTTTTTTAGAGAAAACTGAAATTTTACTACTCAGGGTAACATCAGCAAGTACAAAAGAATTAATAAAATAAGGTGAAACACACAAAATTAGTAGAAGACGAACAAATAAAATTACATAAACATTAGACTGCCAAATTCTTTTGACGAGCCATGTAGCAAATTGATCCATTATGTGCATTTAAAAATAGCTTCACGAGTATCATTAATAATTGAAGATCTTATAAACAGTTATATTTAATTTTTTTATTACAGTAAAAAATTTTCATATAAAATTACATATCAATTCAAATTAAAAATTTAAATTAACGAACTAAATATAAAGTTTTAAAGGCTCTTAAGCCCGAAAGAAAGAACAACATTAATGACATTAATAGAATCCGACTCAAGAATCGAATCATGAAATCCTCCAATTCTGACAAAACGGGTTCCTTCTCTAACCGCCATACACTCGCCCATATAAGGAGTGATTTTGCCAAGAATCCATACAACTGCAGCACCCAGGCCCTTATCATCCATCTCCAATCACACACCAAACTGAAGTAAACATCCAAATTGGAGCAAGAAAAACACAACTCCAAAATGATCATTTGAGTAAAAAAAAAAAAAAAAATTTAAATAAACATGAAATTGACTTTCATTCTCTAATTAAATGGCAACCGTAGAACTTCTTGCACAACAGAAACACTGTATAATTTTTTTATTAATTTTTTTTCTTTTAGGTTTAATAATAAAAATTGACCTGAAACATATATATATAATTCATATTTTACCCCAATTGCATGTTATTCAACAAAATTTCTTATTCTTGTATCTTTTTTATTAGTTTCATTATTTTATTTAATTTATATTGTTTTAATCAACATCATTACTTATGATAACATTTATAAAAAAAATAAATATAAAAAGGAATATACAGGGAATATTTCTTTTAGAGTAAACTCTAGAGTAATTGATTGGGGATGAACTTATTGAGTAAACTCTAGGGAATATTTATTTTTTATTAGTAATATTTATTTATTTTGAACGTAGAGCAACTTTAAAATAGAGTAATAACTTGGAGATAGTCTAATACACACGCCAACGCCAATGAAATCAAGATGGGATTACATAATAATAAGTTAAGTAAAGTATAATAACAAGAAGTCCGTTTATTTAAGATTAATTATTACATATTTACAATCCATTATTACATAGAATAAATACGTTGTTGATGGATCAGAAAAAAAAAAAAAAAAAACATTGTTAATGAGCACACTGTTACTTTGTAGGACTAGTACTCTAGTACTCTCATCATTATTATTTTTTAAATAATCTTGCTCTTTTTTATGGTGTTTCAGTCGGATCTTGTTAAAAAAACAAAAAATTAAAATTAAACCCTGAAAAAATTGTCTTACATTGCCCGTACAACTAAAATATTACAAAACTAATATAAAATTGTGACGCGTTTAGAATTTATTTTAAAATAATTTTATTTTTTTTTATAAAAATAAAAATAAAAATATTTTTAATTTTAAACATAAATTATTTTTAAAAATGTGTTTAATAATTTTATTAAGAGATTATTTTTAGTATATAAAAATTTATTAATGTCTTTCTCTTTTTCTCTTTACTTGAGAGAAATTATTTTTAATATAAAAAAATTCATTAAGGCCTTTCTCTTTCTACTCAAGAGAAAAAAACAAAAATAAAAAATAAAAAATGATTAAAAATCATTTTTTATTTCTCTTATATTTTATGCTAAATTAAAAAATTATTTTTATTTATTTAATCTTTAATTATGTCATAACTATTTTTCTTCAGTTTTCATTTTTTTTCTTAAAAAACATAAAAAATAAAAATAAAAATAACTCTAAATACAGTCTAAATATCTCCCTTAAAAAAATATAAAAATTTTCTAAATATCTTTGTAGAATTTAGAGGAAAAGAAAAAGAGCTGCCCGAGATCTCGGCGGGCAGGTCCAAATTCCGAGGCAGAGACAGAAGAGAGAAAACGCTTGACATTTTTTTTTTTTTCGATAATAAGAAGAGAAGAAGATTGGCTACCTCTCACTCTCTCTCATACTCCACCACTTCTCAAACGCGCCCTGCCGCGTGGTGGTGGCGCGTGGGGTGGTGGAAATGGGTCAGGGGCTGAGTTGCGGAGGAGACCGCCATGAAAGAGCTCTCTTGAGAGCTCTTAGAGACGGCGACGTGGATGACGTAACCGAGTTAACTCAGACTCAGACTCAGACTCAGTCCTTCCAGACCCTTTCTTTTGGTCGAGGGAAGCTCTCTGCTCTGCATGTGGCTGCTGCTAATGGTCGGATCGAGGTCGGTTTTGGCCTTTCTTCATTGCTCTTTACTTTACTCTTGTCTTCGGACTGATTTTCTGTTCTTTTTTCTTTTTGTTTGTTTGTTTCTTGGGAAAATATCTGTCGTATTGATGATGGGTTTTTTCTGGGTTTTGTGTGATTTAGCTACTTTCCATGCTTTTGGATCGGTTTGGTAACCCTGATGTTCTGAATCGCCACAAACAGGTACAATTGAATATTTTATACTATTCATCTCTTTACATGATTCTGATTAGATATACTAGTATTTTACAATTTTTAAATGGTTAGATAGCTTTAAGTTTTCTTCAATTTACATATCAATGTTAAGCATATATATATATGTGTGTGTGCGTGTGTGTGCGTGTGTGTGCGTGTGTGTGTGTGTTTTTAGTTTCATTTGTATTAATTTACATATCAATGTTAATTATGTATGTATATGTATATCTAATCTAGAAGGTGAGAAGTACACAGTTTGTGTGCTTTATTTTGAAACTGTTTTGTTTTTATTAATGTCAATTTTCTTTTTTCTTTTTCTTTTTCATGGTTCTTTTATGTGATGTCTAATTGGTTATGTTATGGTTTGGTACTTTAGACCCCATTGATGCTGGCTGCTATGCATGGGAATGGCGCTTGTGTGCAGAAGCTCTTAGAAGCAGGAGCTAACGTATGTGAATTCTCCTTTTTCACTTTTAGTTAACTATGAAGGTTTTTCTAGTTGAATTTTTGTGATTAAATTATTGATCAGGCACTGATCATGTTTTATGGGGTTGTGTGTATGAATGTATTAGATATTGATGTTTGATTCTGTAAATGGAAGAACCTGCCTCCATTATGCTTCTTACTATGGTCATTCAGATTGCTTGCAAGTCATTCTCTCCGCAGCTCGATCCAGCCCTGTTGCAAATTCATGGTTAGTCCCCTCTCGCTTTTCGCTTTTTTTTAAGTTATTTTTTGATTAGGGGTGTGAAGAAAAACCACCAAAATAGATAAAAGCATTAACCACCAAAACCAAACCTGATCCATGCGGCTTGGTTTGGTTTGATTTTTTGCAAGTTGCACTTTTGATTTGGTTTGCGGTTTGTACATTTTTAAAATTGAGGAAACCAAACCAAACCGAATCTATTAATATCTTACTAGAAATTGTCGTGCATTATTATTGGTAATTGATTGTAGAGTTGTCGTAGTTTAATCTATCTCTGGATTGGATTTGGTTGTCATAATTTTGTTATACTCGTTTGTTTATTGTGTTGTGTTTTTACCTTTATTTTTCTTATCATAAATTGTTTTATTATGAGATTATTTAAAAAGTGGGCCTTTAAGCAACATAAATTTTGAAGCCAAATAAGAATCCTAAACAATATGAAGCAAACTGAACCAACCAAAAAATGAGGTTTGATTACCTTTGGTTTTTCCCGGTATTTTGCATTGCTTTTGTTGAAGAAAGTCACAAATTCTACTCTTAGTGTTATTTTTTGTTCTGCATCTCGACCATCAAAACCGTTTTGTGAATGTGCCTAGTGTTGATTTTTTTATTCATGGTATTGGTAATGGCAGGGGATTTGCAAGATTTGTGAACATAAGAGATGGAGGTGGTGCCACCCCACTGCATTTAGCAGCCCGTCAAAGGCGGCCTGAGTGTGTTCATGTTCTTTTAGACCACGGGGCTCTTGCTTGTGCTTCTACTGGTGGATATAGGTAACTTTGTTTATGTCAGTGCATAATGCTCTTTTGAGCTATGTAGTGATGATCTGCCAATTAAGGATCTAATTGTTCCACTTCCATTTGCAGCTATCCTGGGAGCACACCACTTCACTTGGCTGCTCGCGGTGGTTCCTTGGAATGCGTCCGCGAGTTGCTTGCTTGGGGAGCTGATAGGCTTCAACTAGATTCGAATGGGTAACTCCATTGCATGGAATATTTGATATTATTTTGCGCGACAAGTTAATCTATGTAGTTAGTTTTTCTTCTCTTTTGTGGAACTGCATGAGCCATTGCATATAATGTGCTCAAATGGAAGAAAAGCATAAGGTTCCTGATTGGAAATTAAGTACTAATTGAGTTCTTAACATATAAACGTTCTTCGCTCTAATATCATTAAGAATTCTGCGTTTGGTAAAGGGGAGACTAAGTTTAAGGTCTTATTAACTTGTAAAAGAATGACTGTTGCAGGAGAATACCATATACAGTTGCTATGAGGCACAAAAACTGTGCTTGCGCAGCTTTGCTGAACCTGTCAGCTGCGGAGCTGCTTGTCTGGCCATCACCTTTGAAGTTCATCAGTGAGCTTAATCCAGAAGCAAAGGCTCTGTTAGAGAGAGCTTTAATGGAGGCAAACATGGAGAGGGAGAAGGCAATATTAAAGGAGACAGTCTACTCAGCTCCATCTCCTATAAATTCTGATGTTGAGGCTGATGATAATGCCTCTGAGGTAATAATGTGGACTTTTTCCCCCCGCTGTTGGCTTTTGATTTTCATTTCAACTCATTCTATTTACTACCACTTGAAAAGTATCTCTTAGGTTTTTCTCTTTTTTTTTTTTTTTTTTTTTAATGGAAGGTATGTGAAAAATATACATGTCTTTTCCTAGATAACATTGCTTGCAGGCAGGGGATTGTGATATAAAAAAGAGGCATTTACTTTCGAGTAATACACTGAAGCTCGTTTTTTGAGATTAACACCAGAAAAGAACTGTTGCCATTTTGTAATACATTCTTATACCACTGTTAAAGCTATATAAACCCGCTTCAGGAAGCCTTTTCGACAGTTCATTTCTTCTAATTTGTGGTCCCTGTATCTGAGCTCAAAACTGTTATTTGGATAGAAGAAGAGGGAAAGCTTGAGTTTGCATGTTTGTGCATTTTATTTTACTTAATTTTTATGTCAAAGTCGTACGTTTTAATTTTGTTTCTGGAAGTGGAAAGTATAAGGAATTTTCTACCGTTCTCTTGCCCTGGCGAGACGCATCCATTTTGTGCTAGAGTAACTTGTAGCACTTTGCAATGACCTTTTCTTTTGGCTTTTGCTAAAAAGATGAATTTAATGTGGACGAATATATAAGTTATGAGCTTCAGTGAGGTGTTTGAGCTGTATGTTTTTTAGAACCCTTTCATGGGCTTCGCTTATTAACTTTGTGAAGTATTCTAAATAAAACAGGCTAGCGAAGTTGAGTTGTGCTGCATATGCTTCGACCAGATGTGCACGATCGAGGTCAGACCGTGCGGTCATCAAATGTGTGCGCACTGCATTCTAGCCCTGTGCTGCCACAAGAAGCCCAATTCGAGATCTACCTGTCCTACGTCCCCGTTATGTCCCTTTTGCCGAAGCAATATTAGCCAACTAGTCGTTGCAAATGCCAACACCAATAATGACATGGAAACAGCAGAAACTAGTGCTTCAAAACCTTGGAAATCGAGAAAGTCAAACTTTAGCGAGGGAAGCAGTAGCTTTAAGAGCTTATCAGCTGTGGGCTCATTCAGTAGGATGGGCGGGCGCAATTCTGGAAAAGTTGCTGCTGAGTGCAGTGAAGATGTTGACAAGCCATGAACGGTCTTTCTGTTTCAATCAAAAGTTGATGGTTCAGCCGATGGAGCTCTCCCCAATTTCCTTAGACGCCAGGATCCTCGCGCTGGTGTCAATACATGTCTTGAGTTTAAAATTTAGGCAAGATCTCAATGTGCTAAGCATATATGAGGGCCGTGGCATTTTGTTTCGCGGCGTTTTTTTTTTTTTCTTTTTCGTTAGATTGAGGCAGCAGCCCTTTTTCAAGAACTCTCTTTCCAGATACAGATATATTCCACATTATATAAAGGTAATATCCCTTACAAGGCTATTCAATATCTTGTGTAAACAAGCCCACAATCACTGGGGAAATACAGCTTCAATTATTAAGTTCTTAAATCTCATTTTCGGATGTGCTATAATTCTGCAACAGTTACCTAATTTCAGCTCACTTTTGGGATTTAGTTTTTGAGCTTTACAAATTTATATTTTGGGGGGAAGGAAGTTGAAAATTGAAACAACCCAACAGGCCTAACTGGCTTGGGACAATATAAACTAGGTTGCGTTTGAATTCTTTTTGCTAGAAAACTTGGTGGGCATACATATTTTCATTCTTTAATTTCTTTTCTATTTATCTTCTTTTGCGACTGTAAGTCAGGAGTTATGTTCACCTTAAATTACATCTTGGGTTTATCTGCAATGCAGACTTGTTGCTTGTCTGATTCAAGTACAATACTGATAGTTAGGTGTTATTTCAACAACGTTACTTAGAAAATATGTCCCACTGTTATTTGTTGGTGATGGTAATAACCACATATGCAATGATTTGATGCATAGCAAAGTGGGATCCAGTTTATTATTATTTTATTTTTTTTTAATTTTTTTTTTCTCTCGCCATCTGATCGACATATGTGTGGTGAGTAGTGTGAGAGTGAGCCCAACACAAAATGTAGAAAACAGAACCTTAAGGAATCTTTTGGAAGGCACAACTTGGGAGCTATACTGTTATGATACAATACTATGTTTGTTAAAGTATAAAATTATTGTTAGCCCACCTCCTAATAGTTTAAGTTTTTAAAATAAGTTAGTAAACTAAAATGGTATCAGAATGGGAGGTCCTGAGTTTAAATCTCTGTAATTGCACTCTTTATCCTTATTTAAATTGTCATCGTGTGTTAAGTTTTTAATATATTTTGGGCTTATATATTCACGTATTTAGCTTTCTAATTAATTTATTTACACGATTATTCACTGTCCAGTCCACACGTGAGAGAGAGTGTTAAAGTATAAAACTATTGTTGACTCACCTCTTAATAGTTTAAGCTTTTCACATGAGTTGATAAACTAACAATGTTATGTACTAGTAACACAACACACCAGTTGACCTGAAAACTTGCCTCAAAAGTAAAAAACCAGCTCCACCACCCACCAAATAGTCAAAGCAAATTAAGATGGACCCTCCTGAAACAATTGGAATCTGAATTGGCCACAGACACCCAAATACAAGTGTGGTGTTCCAAAATTTGAAGTTGTTTCATACCATCACTTAATGAGTTGACCACACAAACATGGAAACAGTAAAAAACCATTCCCATCATCTTCGAAAAATTCTATTATTATTTGCAACCCCAGGGCGGCCAGAAGCAGCAGGTGATTGATGAGGAGCAACTAGACCATTGATAAACAGTGAATTTGACTCTGAAAATGTCAGATTATAATCAACACAAGAAGAGTAATCAGTGGTGGGCCCATATTGATTCCTTCTGCTTGTATTTGTAGTGGCTCTTCTTCTTCTCTCTGCCTCAAGAAAGTGGGCAAGAGATGGAGTATTACTATTGGATTTGGTGGTGGCTGAAGTTACAGCATCAGTGGTCAAGTTTGAGCAGAGAGAGAACAACTTAAAACTCTTTTTCTCATCATCTCTCAAGCACTTCTCTGATGATGATGATGGTGTTTTTCTTGAGGATTTTCTTGATAATTCCATAATGCTTGAAACCCCTATGAGGCTGCCAAGTGTTTTGCTCCTGTCTTGGAACAAAGACCCAGTGGACTGAAAAACCAAACCAAGTCATTAATACAAAAGAAAGAACTCAATAGAAACAAAGAGGAAAGAATATTACAAACATAAGTACCTTACCGACATTGCATAATTCCAGACCGTTAGATCATTATCAAAATAAAAAACAATACATAAATTTAATGAAATTTGATGAATATCGACTGCCATTATTGATATCAAAAATCCAATAGCGACTTATACAAGCGAAATCTTTTAATTGATAATTAGGTCTTAAGAACGAACTTTGATTTAGTTAGTGTATTTTGATTTATTTTGCTTTTATTTAAAACCTTACTTTTTACCTTATTTTCATTTAAAAATTGACCGTTTCTATTACTAGAATTGAAATAAGCTTTTTTTTTTTTTTCACGCAATCAAAGAACTCTCTATCTACAAAATTGATGGGGTCCCTCCAGCAATAATGAACACCTACTTTGTATATACTAATGGTGGATTCAATTGGTCCTATGATCACTGATGGCACTTGTTTTTTCATTTGATTTAGTTTGCATGATTGAGCATGGATAGGAAAATTATCAGTATGGGGATGGGGACCACAAGAATGAAATGGAGCATTTTTCTTGTGACATAATGATTCACCTCCAATGTTATCCATAGTCCAAATTTCCACTCACCTAATATTATTATTATTTTCTAAAAAAAAAATTATTATTATTATTTATGATAATTTATTTTTATTTTTATTTTTTTAAAAGGCATTTTGAGCCATGGATTTGCTTTGCATTTTTGTTATTGTAAAAGAAGTCTTCCTTTATATTTACATATCCAAGTTATTTACTTATAAATTCAATTAAAAAATGAAAGTAATTCATTTGATACTCGTTAATCTTGTTTATTAGTCTACGAAGGAAAACCACCGACTGGGGAAGAGAGAACCAAGTAGTTTGAGAAATCACTAAATAGTAACCTCCTTAAACATATCATTACACATATATACAGACAATATGCACTATATATATAAATCATATTTATACTTGTGTGCAAGAATTGAACCCATTATCAAGTAGAAGTAAAGAGTCATATTACTAATCAAGGAGGCTGCAACTATGATTAGGCATTGCCCCAGAAAATAAAATTGCCTAGAATAATAGACGTGAAAATTCTGTATAGATGAAACAAATGTTTGTGTACATTTCTACATGAGAGAGAGAGAGACCTGAGTATCAAGATCTGATGAAGAGATGGTTGAGGAGTTAGTAGGAGAAGCAGTAAGCAAAGTGTTGAAGGAAACTGATCCAACAGAGAAATCCAGACTTCTCATCAATCCAAGCCTTGCATTCAGTGGTCTCAGTCCCAATGGCCACCCTTCGTCCTACACTCGTTTAAATTAACTTACAACAATATATATATATATATATATGTGTGTGTGTGTGTGTGTATCTATATATCTTCGTCAAAAAGTTATATAATGCTAGTGAGCATTTGCTCAAGTGAGAAAGTAAGTACCTGTTGGGCCATGATTAAAAAACTTGTACAAAGAAGAAGAAGAAGCTTTATTGAGATTGTTGAACAAGTGACCAATATTTATGCTCTCCTTGCTATAGATTCTTGTGAACCAAAAAAGAGCCAACAAAAATAAGGTAAACGCTGAATAAAGACACAAACCAAAAAGGAGAAACAAGTTTGGATTTTGAAAAAACAATTGAGTGTAACTTGGCATTGCCTCGTTAGGGCCACAATGAGACGTCCAAAACACAAAGATAGAGAGAGAATGAGAATATGAGAGAGAGAGAGAGATTTGAGAGTGACATATTACCATGTATTGTAGACAGAATAGATGGTAAGGATGAAGAAAGGAGAACAATTCTGTAGAAACGTCAGATTTAAGAGAGTGCACACTGCACCAAACACAACAGAGGCCCCAGAGGAAGGCTCCTTCCTTTCCTTGGATTGACCATAATGCCCCTCACAACCATAATAAGAACATGGTTTTTATTGTATCTCAACTTCTAACAATTTTTTTTTAGTCCATACCAGAGAAGCAATGGAAGTTAGTGATGAGATTAAAACAGAGAATTTACAAAATGTTCCCTAAATTCAGTGAAATGCTATATTTAGCCTTAAAATAAGTCCGGTAAGCCCAAAAGAAAAGAACAGTGCTCTCTGAAAAGCCCAAATCTTTTAAAGAGCACAACATACTAATTAGCACTATTCAGTGGGGGCACCTCTTAAAACCTACATATAATCATCATGACATGTAATTCTTAACATGTTTACTTGCTTTCCGGTGAGAGCACGTGCCCCACTGGGCCTTAGGTGCATCCGTGTCTGCTTATATTTGGTGAGAAATTTATTAGAAGTATAGTATACAAAAAATTTAACAGAATAAATAGTATTATATTAAAAGAAGAAAGAAAGAAATAGGTCAAGATTTAAGATGAATTAAAATTAATAAGTTAATAGTTTACATAAGTTAATAAATATGTCAAATTACTGTTTTCGTCCATAACTTGTCTGGTGATGAACCATAACTTGACAAGTTATTGTCTATAATTGTCCATAACTTGTCTGGCTATGAACCATAACTTGACAAGTTTGTCCATAACTTATCTGGTCATAAACCATAACTTGACAAGTTATAGCCTATTAATTTCTATAACTAAAAATTGGCCTATATACTTTCTTAAACTTTTCATATTGGCGTATTTTCTACTATTTTCCTATATTAAAGAGTATTTTTTTACACTTACATATTAAATGTATAATTAGCACATTAATTATAACATTGTATTGAAGATGCTCTCAGAAATTAATTTAGGCTTTCTAGATCCAAAAGATGCTTTTGAAAATGTTTAGATGATTTACTATAAGAGCTTTTGGCCAAAGCCACAATATGCGGCTTCTTAAGACAGCTCTTTCATAAGACACTACAAGCTTCCATTACAATCTCGTTCATTTCACTTCTTAAGATAGCTCTTTCATAAGACACTACAAGCTTCTATTACGATCTCGTTCGTTTCGCTTGTTTAAGTTAAAAATTTAAACTAAAAAGTGAATTCAAGTAGGAAAAAATATTATAGCATAAAAAGTTAAATTTAAATTTTTGTGAGACAAACCACTATAATAAAAACTTGAGTTATGATTCAAACTAACAAAAGAACAAATTAAATTTTTTAAAAAAAATCATTTTCACCTATTAAACTCTTTCAAAATGTGATTACGGGCAGCCTACTTATTGCAATTATTACAACCCAGAAAAGGGGGAAAAAATCATGTTGTTTGCAATTTACATTTCAATTAAACGGATAAATTTTGTTCACATCAGTAATCTTTATGTCTTCTAGTTAGGCACTTTCCTTATTGCAATTGTGAATACCTAGCATAGTATAACTAGTACTGATTTAAAGCACTTGCTTTGAACAAACCACATTTTGATGTCAAGAATGCAATCAGCTAAATCAGAAAACGAATTCTCTTGTGTTTGATTGTTCCAACAGAAAAACTTTTCCATTAATTTGATGGAATAGTCATTCCCAAGTGAGAGATGAAAACCCATTCCATTCTATAAATTTTTTTTCCCTGATTGCCCCTTCAAGTTTCAACGCGTCAAACCCATCTCCAACTCACCTTCCTTCTTTGTGTAGTGTCTCCCAATTTTTCCAGACTCGCGTTTTTGGTAGATTTGTGCATTGTTCGACAATCTTGTGGGTATCTATCCGAACATCCAACATGAAAATACGGCAAGAGATGGGCATAGAGAAGAATACGAGAAGACAAGGAAAAGATGATGAAAAAGAGAGGAGAGGAGAGATGAATTACCCCTTTGACCACAGACTGTTTGGGGTTTACCCTGTATGCTGAAACCGGAGGCCTTTCTCCCAAAGACCCTTGGTAAAGGATATTTTTGTCAAAATGTAGTTGAATCTATTCAAATCTAATGGTTAACCAAAATTCCAAACAAAGAAAGGAAATAGTTTATTTTTGCATTCTATTCGTATTACCATTACCATTCCATCACTTTTAACAAAACATAACCTGAAGCTTTTAAATGACTCTGTAGAGTGATGAATGCCAACACTTTGCGGTTTTCAGAAACAGATGGCCCAAAATAGAGTGCAATTCACAACTTATTATAGGAAACGTATGGGTATGACAAGCCAATACAAGGAAAACCAGCAAAACTGAAAGAATACTAGAAATAAACTTGAACCAGAAAGAGCATATCCTTCAAGCGAATTGGGAAGCATCAACTTCCTAGGGCTCATTCTTCCTCCGTATCTGAACGCAAGGCTGGTATAAAAGAAACAAATACATCATTAGGAAGGCTAGTTGAAGATAATAGAATTCACTCATTAACACAGGTCAGTCCATAAGAACAAAAAGTCACCAAGTTAATGTACACATTTTGAAATTAAAGATCACCACACAAGAAAATCAAACAGTTGCATGCCGTAACAATACCAGAAATTGCAGTTAACTGTTAAACACACTCATTTCATCTAAGTCAATAAGTTCACACACATTTAAGTGACTATTACCCATTAACTGAAATCCTAGCAACAAATAATGCCATTAGTTTTAAGCTTCTAATCAGTTACACTTTATTAGTGAATCTCTCTATTCATGCAACGAAAAAGGATCAAAACCTCTCTGTAAAAATACGCATTCTGCATAAAAGAGGAAAAATTGAAATGATGTGTAGCAATTTCAGTTAAAGTCTTCCAAGAGATTCATCATAATATTGACAGCATAACGATATCTATGGATAAAACAGTACCAAGATACCTTCAGAGCCAGGAAGGAAAATATTAAGCAAAACTATGCTAACGGCAGTCAACAACATGCCAATCAACTCTAAATTCCATGGATTAAACATCCCCGAGATACTTCATAACCAAAAAAAATCGCAAAACAATTCTAATGGTAGTCCTGAATCCACAATATACTAACGGGTATGAATAACTACGAAATTTACTTTCTTCCAAGAACTGAAGTGCAAAATACAAAAGCAAGCAATGCCATCACTTTTTGGAAAGCTTAAAAAAAAAAAAATAGTTCAATAGGACAATGAAAGCTGTTTTAACAGAGAAAGAAAATAGAAAGCAAACAGTATTATCACTTCCACATAAATCTTGGTAGTAATACTAATGTAGTATCAAAAACTGTATTCCAGTTAAGAGGGGTCTACTTGACTTAATATTATCTCAGGACTACTTAATAAAGAATCATGTAAATAATCGTGAAAACAGAGGGAAAAAAATAAAAAAGCAACTTTCTTTCATGTGCAGTTTAAGCCACCCCTCAATTATATTTCGTAAACATCATGAAACCAAATCACAACTTTAGCTAATATAAACCTAAAGTTTGAAATTCACATGAAAAGGGAACGAAACTAGTTTGTTGAGTAAAAGAAAACCTACTATGATTACAAATCAGGGCAAAATGACCGATATTTAGAATACTATTTTTCCATATTGTTCCTATAAAATCTTTTTTTCTCAATAAAATGATATTTAATATGGAGAAAATATCGAAATGCAATCAGGAAATAAGGTTAGGTTTTCTGAGGTAAAATCTAATGTTTATAGGAAAAAAGATAAACTCGTCGTCATACTTCTCAGAAAAACCATCGAATTTGATAATTCAAGAATCGAAAAATTCCATCCAGCACAAAATTACAGATGCTAGATTAGGAAAAATACAATATTGAAATCAATCAATAAACAAAAGGGGAAAAGATTATGTGTTGAGAAATTATATTATACAATCCAAAAATGATGATATATAAATATAGATCTGGAGAGAGAGAGAGAGAGAGAGAGAGACTGACTGGGTTTCTGAGGCTTGCCGTCGGCCCACTTGGAGACGGCGAAATGGACCTTCTCACGGGAAAGGGCTTCGGACTTGTGAGGCTCTTTGAGGCAATTCCTCACGAGATTAGCGCAGATGTTGGAGTAGGTTATGTATGTCATCCCCGCCGCTCTCCAGAACGGCACTGCTGCGTTCGACGCCATTCTCTCTCTCTCTCTCTCTCTCTCTCTCTCTCTCTTCTCTTTCTCTCTCTTTCTGTGGTTGTTTGGACTTCAGAGGCGGAACCTAATGAACCAAAGCAAATAGACCTAATACTAATGGCTCACTCAGACGCATGCATCCAATACAGCCCAAAAGGTGCCGTTCAAAGAGCCTCACAAGTCCGAAGGGGACGCGTGAACTGTGAATCTATAGTAGGCCCAAAACGTTGCCGTGGAGCCCCAATATGTTGAGGAAAAAGGTTTTTCCCAGATTGCCCCTTATTTAGAATCTTTGGATGCGTTCCCTGATTGCCCCTTATTTAAAATTGTCACTGTTGACAGAAAAACCGACCGGATTATCTCTCGGTTTTCTGTCAGGTTACCGGCCGTGTGTGTGTGTTTTCTAAGAAATCGGATATGTAAATGACGCCAGGAAATTTATAGTGGTTCACTTTATAATTTTTAGAGCTACATCCACTGTAATCTTATATTTCTTTATTTGGGATAAGTTACAATTTACAATCTTTTTTTTTGTTCTCAGCTAGAGTTTTTTTTTTAACCCTCCCTTGCTGGGGTCTTTCTCCTTTTATATTGGGCTTCCTTCACCCAGGGGGTTTCCTTCACAGGTAGAAGCACTCAAGTGCTCTCCTCCGGTAGGCCCAGACGTAGCCCACTAATTAACACTGTTCATTCAGCTAATTAGTCTTCTATTACGGCTCTGTGCTTCCCCGTAATACTTTCCTGTCCCCTGTGGGAGCGGTCTGACAGCTCACAATTAATGTTTACAGACCACCTCCACTTCTACACGTAACCCGTTATGTCCTCTAAAGGACGTTCCTCTCGTCGTCAGCACTTATTAGCCCAACTGCCTTCTTCGATAGCCCTTTCTGCGGTCGAGAGATCTTCATCCCTTAGCGTCGACGGCGCAATTGGTCGACGCCACAAAGGATCGTCGCCCTATCTTGGACTTCGTCCTTGGGCCTTCGCAGCGGGGTATGAGGAGTCTGCAAGCGTCAAGCGTTCCTTGCTTTATGGGGATTAATCAAGGCCACGTGTCGCGGTATACTTTGTCCACGCGTCCGTCACATTTTCCCACACAACAGTCACCAAACCTGGAATTAGGATTATTTATCTTATACTTCTTGAGAATACTTTTATACTTCTTGATAATACAACAAAATTGAACTTTGAATTTCACTTAAACATAGGGTCAGATTTTGTCATTTTACCAATTAAGAATTGTCAAGACTTCTTTTCATGTTGTGTAATTGTGGAAACTTGAATCAACGAACTAAACGGATCAAATTAAAAACTTGAATCAACGAACTAAACGGATCAAATTAAACTTTAAGAAGGAAATTCATCTTTGATCAAATTAAAAACTTGAATCAACGAACTAAACGGATCAAATTAAAAACTTGAATCAACGAACTAAACGGATCAAATTAAACTTTAAGAAGGAAATTCATCTTTGGTGGTGGGTGTAAAAAAAAAAAAAAAAAAAAAAAAAAAAAAAAAAAAAAACCCCTGTTCACCAAAAATTGAACTTCACGTGTATGACAATTTAATCCTTCAATTAAAAATTACGGCGATTTCCCCTTTAAACTTTAAAATCTTGATAATGTTGATCCAATGAATGATGGCGTCACAAAAATTGGATGGAAGGTCATTAGCCCCTCACTGTGCAAATCATCACGGATAATATTGAGAATTAACCCCAAAAAAAGACATAGTTAAACCAAAAAGCACCTAAACATAAAAAAGAAAAAGAAAACAAAAAATCCCTAAAGAAACAGAAAATGAAAACAAAAACGAAAACCCCATCAACAGCTCCATAACTTCCTCTAAAATCTGAAGTCTCACACCTGCTCTTGAAAAAAAAGATGATCGGGTCAAAATTTGGTCGACCTAAAATTGACATAAAAAACACATGTCAATTTTAGGTTAGGCCTGCCTAACCTGAACACGACACGAAACTCATAAAAAATTAAAAAATACATATATTTTTCATTACATATATTTTAATTTTATTATCAACTTGTGATATCATGATAGTTATACTCAAAATCTTATACTATTATTTGCTTAATTTCAATAGATGTTATTGTATTTTAGTGTGTTATGAGTTTTAAGTTATTTCTAATATGTAAAAAAACTAAATAAAAGTATACAATTTGTGTCAATTTTGGGTTCACGGGTCAATTTTGTGTTACGAATCATTTTCATGTCGTGTTGTGTCAACCCATAAAGTGGTCGTGTTGCAGTTTTTAAAAAATCTCGTGTCACGGGTCGTGTTCGGGTTGACTATAAATTTAAAAAAGAAACGATCAAAACACGACATGTAACACGAATTGTCACCCTTAGATTGGAGGAACAATGCCAAGATTTTAAAGTTTAAGGGTGTGCCATAATTTTTAGTTCAGGGATTAAATTGCCAAATGCGGGAAGTTCAAAGGGCATAAGAAGACAAAATAAAGGGCGTGTTTGTTTCTGTTTTTAAAAACGTTTTTTACGTTTTTCGAGGACCAAAAAATGAAAATGGTTTGAGGACATCATTTGGCGCCGCATCGTACAAAAAATAAAAATAAAAACGTTTTCTGACCCTCTCCCAAAAATGTAGAAATTCTGAAAGCGATTTAGGTTCGTTTTCATTTTCCTCCATGTCAATCTCTTCCTCATCTTCGGTCTCCATCTTCTAAGGGCGGTGGAGCTGTCGATGAGGACGGATGTAGTGGAGAGGAAGGATGGGTTGTCGGCGCAGTGGAGGAGCAGAGGAGGGAGAGGGAGAAGGAGCGGATTTGGCGGAGAAAAAGAGAGTAGGACATGCGGCGGCCAGTGGAGCTGTCGATGAGGACGGATGTGGTGGAGAGGAAAGATGGGTCGGCGGTGGCGGCGGCAAAGGAGGGAGAGGGCGAAGTGGGTGAGGGAGAAGGGCTGTGACAACGGCGGGAAGGGAACGAGAGGAAGGAGACTGCGAAAGGTCATTTTGTTGGATTTGTGTCGTTTTGTTAGATTTGTGTCATTTTGTTGGATTTGTGTCATTTGTCATCTTGAGAATCCGTGGTTGGAGAATATGGAGACTAGTCGTTTTGTTGAATTTGTGTCGTATATATTATATTAATTATTAATGTATTAATTGAAGAGTTTATTAATTATTTAATATATTATTTCAAATACTATTACATGTTTTTAAAAATGTAAAACCAAACGCATTTTAATTTTTTCTTATACTGAAAATAATTTCTGAATAAATTACCAAACACATTTTCAGAAATGATTTCTATCTGAAAATGAAAATGTTTTTACTTCTATTTTTATACAGAAAATAAAATTATTTTGAAACGGATTCCAAACGATTCAAAAAGATGGAATGAACATGAACCAACAGCTTAGAGAATTGAGTATCGTTTGTCATGTTTAAAATTGAAACATTGATTCTTCACAAAAGCAACAGTAGTGCCTATAGGACTGCCCATTCGTTCTCATTTGGCAGAGGCAGTACTAACATCGACCCACACTATGGCAGATGAGTAAGCACCTAAACTCTGTATACTCTCCACAAAGTGTGAAGATCTTGATCTTTTTTTTTTTTTTTTTTCTTTTTCCTGCTCGGAATCTCTATCTGTTGGCATGTCCTGCACCTGGTCTATACTCTCCAATTCCCAGCAGGTCCTGCAAAGGAAGAATAGAAACATTTTCGTTTAGCAGAATTAAACTGTAACCTAATTATTGCGTGCAATATAACTATTGCCAAAACAAAACTCTGCCAACAATCAAAAAGAGAATGAGATAAGATCGAGAATAAGGTTCGAGAATGAAATAAATGGACGGTGGATGGTGGCCATGTTTTCGAGTGTCGTTCTGTCTAAATATCAGACAAAAACAAGGGAAATTCGGCAGGAGTATTATATCATGTCTTAAGAGCAATTCTAACTATATTAGTCATTTTATATTTTTAGTCAAAATGACTAATGATTTAACTTTTTTTTTCTCCGCTCCAAATATTAACTAAATGGTTAGTTATTTTAGAGAGAGCCATTAACACTAACTAAACGTAACTACTATAGATAGGCTAGCAATTTAGTTTTTTATATTATTTTATTCAATTTTAATAAATATAAAGGTTTTTTTTTTAAAATTCAATAAAGTTATTTATATTTTAAATTCAATAAATATTAGAATGATCTATATTTAGTTATAATAAAGAGTATGATTAGAACGAATTACTAAAAAATTATAGTTAAAATGACTTTCTAACCATCTATCTAAAATTTAACTAAAATTCAGAGGGTTCTCTTAGAGATGCTCTAATAGACACAAATATGGAATTCCACAAGCAAAAAATAGTCGGAAAAATATTTTTCTGGTAAAAAAAAAAAAATATGGAGACAGATAAACAGATAGCAGATGGCAAGACTTGAGGATCTCATTCTACAGTTTTTGTATTCAGATCTACTCCAATCCCAACGAAATATCAATCTTTGTTAATCTTTTGTATGGGAGCTTAAGCGGATATAAGTTCATAAATGTGTAACATTTGTGCTTCTAAGAAGGAAAGAGAGAAACATTTTCAACTTCAAATGCAAATTAAATAACGATCAATGGCTGGCGCCCTGCTGCTCTACTCCATTTTTTCTCTAGTTTAACATCAATAAGAACAGAAGTAACAGCCCTAATTTCCAAGCAAATAAGAAAAAGTAACAATACAAAAATACTCAGCTCTTAATGCGGAAAATTCATGAGAACAAAGTAGGTGATCAGTAAAAAAAAGTTTACTATGCAGACATTGTCTGGATAAAACTAGGAAGAGGCCTATGACGAAACCAATGAGGAGAGCAACACAGCATATCTCTTTCAAGTTGCAACAACCAACAAGCTAGCAGAAAGAAGAAAGATGTACCTGGCATGCCTTATTTTTGGCTCTGGTTTCTGCTGTGCTGGGAATATCATGATTCGGTTTGAAAAATTTCTTCTCACGCCGCTCACATGAACCCCATCCATCTGAGAACCTACCACCCCTAGTAACCAAACCGTGAAGAAAAAGAAAAGAGAAGGAATGATCATAGTAGAAGCGTAATAAATATAATGGTGTTATAGTAGATCATAAGTAATTCCCAGAAGCCAAAAACCATACTGCATGTAGGCTCGAACGACAAATTCAGCACGCTGAACATTAAGATTGTCATCAAACTCAATTGTCTTGTCTTTGATTTCATAAGAGAGATTAAAGTAAAATGATATCTTCCTCCAACCTGTGGGACAAATTAACCCCAAGTTATTGTTCCATCTTTAAACAAGTCAATAGAAGACAACCCCCACGCTTTACCTGTCTTTTTTATGAAGGGGTGCCCAGAAATCATTGTATAATCACTTTTCTCCAGAATCTGTCAGTTGAAACAAAATAAAAAGAGAATTAGATTCCGACTAATTAAGCCAAGGATTCCCATATTGCAGAAAACCAAAACGTACAATTAATTGTCAAGTTCCATGAGCAGTTGCATGAAACCAATATGCCTATTTTGTGCGTTTTTAATGATTTGTTCATTGCATCTCTGCACATATACTGAACGCAATGTTGGACAAAGGACTGTTTAGCAATGATCATCTTATCATTTGGAACTTCAAGATAGAAAAACGGTCGGCATGGCTAGATAGATAGGCTCAGGTGCTTTCCAATGGCCTTCTCATTGAAAGAAAATGAAGACAAAAAAAAAAAAAAAAAGGAGGAGAGGATAGGAGAGACTCAAGAATATTAATTTAAGAAGCTGGTAGACGCACTTGTGAAAGAAACTAGAAAGATACTGTACAATTAAACATTATGCCTAACATCTTATCATTTTTATTTGGACAACTTACATTTATTCCCCTGAACTATAAGCATTTGAACAAAATACCCCTTAAACTTTAAAAGTAACAAATTTTCCTCCTAAACAATTCGCCGTTAGCACGTGTCTCCTTTTTCCACCCCCTCAGTTGAGTTTTGAACATTAAGTGCCACGTGGATGATATGTGACTCTCATTTTAAGGGCAAAAAAGTAATTTACTGTGTTGAGTTAGAAATACGGCAAAATCCATTCGAATTTTCCAACTTGGTTCTCGGTTTCCAGCGACTTGGTTCTCAATTTTTGAGCCACAGATCGGAGAAGTTGAGTTGGGACTTTTGTTACCCACTTACTTTTGAGTGTTTTGACACCAACGACAAGAGAAATGGCGGCCAAACTCGACAGAACCAAACTCCTCCACGGCGAGTGGCAGTGACGACTTTGAATTCCTGTAAATTGGCGAGGATGGCGGCAGCTACTGGTCTGGATTGACTCATCTATGGATTCTAAGTGAAATGATAGGGGCAGTGCACTTCACCACTGCTGGGACTGTGGTTTTCCGAGAGGAGGTGTGGCGGCCGTGGAGGGCGGCTGCGGTGAAGCTTTTCTGGCAGGAATCAACGACAAACTTTGGGTGGGTCTTGTTCCTCTCATCACTCTGAGTTCATAGAGACCGGAATCACTTTGATTGGAGGTCAGACGGAAAAGTTGTGTCGATTGAAAGTTTTGAGTTTTTCAGAACTTTAGCCGGAAAGTGTGCCTTCATCCGGCGGAGTTGGCAGCCGCAAGACACCAATCCAGACTTGGCTCGACAAGAGCTTTCTGATGAGCAGGGAGGTGTCGAAAATGGAAGCCGGAATACTTGCCGGAGCTTGGTGGTCGTGCACGAGAAAGGGAGATGAAAGAGAGTTGGGGTTGGGCTGCTTCTGATTGGGTGAGATTGACCAATCTATATGGGTAAAATCGTCATTTCATAATAGAATAAAAAATTAATTGCCTCAATGACTTTCACGTGGCACTTAACGTTTAAAATTTAACCGAGGGGGCAGAAAAGGACGCGTGCTAATGACGAATTGTTCAGGAGAAAAATTTGTTGCTTTTAAAGTTTAGGGGGCATTTTGTTCAAACGCTTATAGTTTAGGCGGAATAAATGTAATTTGTCCTTTTTATTTTTATATTTTGATAATAACGAACTTCATTAAAAAACCAAAAGATTACAAAATGAAGTTCCTAGATGGATGAGGAATCCATCAAAGCAGAAAGCAAAAAGAAAAAAGAAGAGAATAACAACAAACAGCTGAGTTAAAGACAAGGAAAACTACAAAGCCTATAGAACGTCATCCCAGCTTATCAATTATCGTGCGTTTCTGAAGTAAACAACCAATTATCCTAATGATAAAGCAGCCATAACTCCCAAGATAATGGAGAATGATATGATAAAGCAGCCATAACTCCCAAGATAATGGAGAATGATATTTCCTAGACTTTTTTGTTATGAAGGATAACTCCCTGCAGAACATTTTATAGATACAAACATATATAGGATTCTAAGCATGGTCTTGAGATACCTTCATAAACACTGGCATCAGCCTTATTAGTCGCTATACAAATCCGAAGGATACAAGTGGGCTTTGTCTGCCCCTAACTGATTCATCATCATGATTAGATCGGTTTAACCATTGATCAATGCGACAATGCCACAGAAAGACTCCAACTTCAATTGAAACAAATAAGGCAGATTTCCAAAAAAGATTAACTAACAATATGACAACGCATTTTTTGTATGTAAGGCAGGAACTACATCTACATTGTGATTCCTTGCAATCCAAATTACAAATCTAAAGTTGTCTCCAAATACTCTTAACATAGCAAGTTTAAGAGAAGAAGGCTAAACTTGGAAATTTATACAGCTAAGCCACCAAACTCCACGACCTAAAAGGCTCTAATAGAAAGTTGAGCAATATATACACCTCAAATTTAAATTGTAAACAACGAAAATGCAACTTTGGTTATAACTAAAACATACTCTTGAACAGTAAAGACTCGAGGGCATTGTTTTCACATCAAGCCAGTCTTTGATTCACGACCAAATCACGTCCAAGTAACAAGGACGTCCTGAACTATAAACAATTTTCAGACAAAACAATAGAAGAGCGAAAAATTGAAAGAAATTAGTAAAGTACCGCCATGGCTGCGTTCTAATACTCCTTAGTTCGTTGTGATTAGCTATCTACTAACTTACAAGATAGATCCCTGTCTATCCCTAACTTCTTCATTGTGATTAAAGATATATTAACAGATTGATCAATGCCACAGCAAGACACCAACTTCTTATCTAACCTTAGCTCCAACTTGTAACCAATCATAAGAAACTGATTTCTTTTTTTTCTTTTTTTTTTGAAGGAGAAACTGATTTCTGTTGACACTGAAAACCAACACAGTTGCCAATCAAGCACAAGATACCCATGTTCTATCATTCCTACCTTTCAAATGGATACTTAGGAAATTAAGATTTCAAATAGTCTTCAAATCTCATCCCATAAATGTCTCCAAATAATATCAACAAAGCAAGTTCAAGGACAAAAGGATCAAACTTGGAAGTTGATAGCCACCAAACTTCTCGACCTACTAACTGCCCTTGCAGAATTCCCCCTTCTACCTCAGAGGTAAAAGGCTTTAGCAGAAAGTTAAAAACAGTATATTATGATAATGAAACTTTAGATATAACTAAAACATACAATCATACATCATGATGGCTAAAAGATTTGAGAGTATTATCTTCACAAATCAACTAATCACTTCCTAGAGGAGAAGGCTCAAACTTGAAAATTGAGGCCCCATTCATTTTATCGATTCGAGTTTAGAATTCGAATTTTACTACAGTAAAAAATTCTAAAAAACAATCACATCTAACATTTTTACTACATTAAAAAACTCTCACATAAAGTCACATCTTAACTCGAATCATCAAACTAAACGGGCTTCATAAAATACCAAATTCCGCCACCTAAAAGACTTTTATCGGAAAGTTGGACAACATATGTAAACCTCAAATTAGTGAGTTGTGAAAGGCCCTAGTGTAGCACAAAAATTGAAAGAAATCAGGACAACTATAAACAATTCGTAGCTAAAATTACAAAAATGAAAGAAATTAGTGAAATTACCGCCATGGCCGCGTTCTGGTACTCCTTGAATAGCGACACCGAAGGAAAATTCCCTGACAAGCTGTGCATCGAGCTCTCCTTCTCTTGAATCCTCCCGTAACTCACCGGCGAGCATTCCGATCCGGCGAACCTCCCGATCTCCGGTGACAAGTACTTTTGAGGTGGCCTCGAAGAGACAGCCACGGCAGGCGTACGCTGCTGCTGCTGCTGCTGTTGCACATTGGTCCTGGCAATGGCCATGGGACTAACTTCGCCGAACTCCGAAGAAGAGCAGGGCGTCCTCGCGATCTTCCGCGGCGGCCGGAAAACCCAGGGCTCCTGCACGACCTCGCCTTCTGCGTAGACATTGGAGTTGGAGTGGTCGGAAGAATCGAAGGAGGCGCGAGGGTTCCTGGAGGTCTTTTGTTGGAGCTTTAATGGCGGAGATGGAGGATGGAAGTTGTTAGGGTTTCTGATGGCCAGAGGCATGCGGGACTTGAGTGAGGCGGCGGCGGCGGCGGAGTCTATTACGGCCCACAAAGCGGCGTCGTCGAGATCGTCGTCCTCCACGACGGAGTATGGCACTGGGGAAGCCATGATTTCTGGAAATCAGGGTTCTAAAAATGTAGATTAACAGAGGTTGGACAAGAAGAAGAAGAAGAATGGTTGGCTTTCTGAAGAAGAAAGTGCGCGTAAAGCTCCCATGAGATTTTCAAATTATAGGGCCCGCTGACCAGTTGGGTTCCCAGCCTAACGACGTCGTATGAAATTATCTAAGACGGAGTAACGATGTCATATACTCCTTTTTGGCGTTCTTCAATGCCCCACGGCCACGGCAATTTCTTTTTTCTTTTTCTTTTCTTTTTTCTTTGGATCATTGACCGTGTCTAATGTGATTGTTTCTGAAAACTTTTTACTGTAACAAAACTCAAATTCTAAACTCGAATCAGTAAAGTGAACGGGACCTAATAAATGATAGTGTCTTGTCTATGGTAGGGGGCGTTGAAATCTCCTTACTGGTAGGGTATGAAGTTATCAACCATTGGATTGCTTTTGAATGGTTGACATTAAAAAGATGCACCAAATAGTTATGAAACACGTTGCACCTGATTAACTAAATAGTGTAGATTTTAAATTGAATTTGAGTGATAATTTGAGTTAAAGTTGTAACTTGAATTTGTGTTTAGTTGTGTACATTTGAATTATAATTTGAGATAAGAATCTTTTTGAGTTTGTATTTGAATAAATCAATACTTGAATTTATATTTAGATAGTATTTTAATAAAAACTCAATGCTAATGAAAAATTTTAATAGGGTATATAGGTATAATTTTATTTATCTTTTTGTTGTCAACGCATAGAAAAAAAATCATCTCAATCATAATTAAAACAAAAAAGTTATAGTATTTTTAAAAATAAAAAAATATTGTTCATTAACTTGAGTTCGAGTTTCTGAACTCAAATTGAAAGAAAAACTGAACTCGAGTTTTAATTCAAGTTCAAATTTGAGTTCAAACTTAAAAGAATATAAACTCGAATAAAATTATAACTCGAGTTGTTTTTTTTGAGTTTTTCACTCAAAAACAGACTTGCCGCCGAACAGGCCCCAAAACTTCAAACCAGATCTGACTACCCCAAAACCGGCGAACTCTCCTCCGTCCAAGTGCAGACGACTTCCTCCGGCAGCATCACTCCCCTACGGTGGCGCGATCTCTCCACGTCGGCGCCAACGTCTCCTTCTCCGACGCCGACGACCTCTGCGAATAACACTTGGAGGTAATCCGCCTCTGCACCTTGACAATCTCCACCGAAAATCGTCGGCGATGATGCGTCCGCGGCGATGGGGAGCAACGGATCTTGCGGAGATCTCGAAGGTGGATCCCGAACTCGTGGCGGACGGAGTTGTTGTCCGCCGACTGGACCACACGGGAGTATAAATTACACAACTAATAGAACTGGAAGAAGCTTCATTAGAACACCAAATCCAACTTTTCGTAGTCGACATTTTGATAATGATTGGAATAGCTAACGCTCCGTCCATTGCAAGATATATTTAAAGCAAATATTTTTTTCGCATTTTGAACTGTCTTCTATATATCAAAAGATATAATAAACTGTTTTAAAACATCAAAAGATAAAACAAGGTGTATAATTCAGAGGATAATTATGAAAATAATCTATAAATAAATGAATGAAAAAAATCAAATATTAATAATATAGACCTTATCCTAGCCCTTTTAAAAAAATAAGTTCTCGTTTTTAATTAAAAAAAGTGATTTTTTCTATTTTTACTCTTTTTATAATTGCAGGAAAATTTTCCATTTTTACTTTTGTTCCTTGCAAATCTTCTCCTTGAATTGAAAATTTTTTCGCTTCACTTTGCTGATTTGAGTTTGTAATTTGAGTTGAGATGTGATTTTATGTGAAAATTTTTTACTGTTATAAAAAAATTAAATGTGACTATTTCTAAGAACTTTTTACTGTAACAAAACTCAAATTCTAAACTCAAATCGACGAAATGAACAGACCTAACACTCACAGATGGTATTAAAAGTTTCGAGACAAAGTGAAAATAAGATTAAAATTCAAGGGTAAAAAGAAGAATAATCCTTTTATTTTTTGTACGAAAAAAAGTGGCTCCCATACGGGTGTCGTTTTTTTTTCACATTATCATCGTCGTACAGCCAAACAAAAAGTTTCCCTCTCTTTCATTCACATGAAAACTGCGAAAACGCGAATCGTTCCAAATTATTTTCCAGGAAAATCACGAATCGCGGAAACCATATTCTCGAACTGCTGAAACTGAGTAGCACTGCAAGATTTATCGAACATCGGCGGATCCGAATCATCCCTCAGATCTACCACTACGCCTTCGCTGTTCCTCCAATTCGATTCATTTCCGAAATCCTTCACCTTCTTCGGCCGTCTGATTTTGGATGAGATCTCCGCCAGAAGAGCCGGGTTTAGATAGTCCTCGAGTTTCTTCTTCTTCTTCGTCGCGGTCTTTTTCTCTTCCCTGCATGAAATTCCGTGATCAAATTGCAGAAACACCAAACATATTTCAATGTCTACAGAGACAGAGAGGAGGGAGAGTACATGGATGCGATGGCCGACGGCGGTGGCTGAGATCGGAGGAGAGAGGAAGGTCGAAGCAGTCGCCTGCATATATGGTCGGCGGTGGCCGTGGGGCTTGAGATTTCTGGTCTGCTTTCTTCTTCTCTCGTAGTCATAGTAATGGAGATTTCTGATTCCATTTCATTCATTTTTCCCCAAATTGGAATTGGATTTTACTTTTATAACGCTACAGAAACCGGCTCTTTAAAAAAAGGGAAGATTTTAAGTGAAGTCGTGACAAGTTAGCTACTTCTCATTTACAGAATTCTGTCCAGTTTTTTTTTTTTGTTTGTTTAGAATTATGTTTGAGCAGCTTTAAAGATATACAACCTACGTGTATTTATGCAAATAAACCCACAATTTTCACGTTAATACTCAAATAAATACATGGATTTTAGTCACATTTTGAACAGCCAATCAGTTCATGTTGTTATTTACAGAATTCTACTGAGCAGCGCTCTATATATATATTTATATATATATGTGTGTGTGTGTGTACATACATGCATACATACATACATACATACATACATACATATATATAAACACGAACCTTATTCTGTTTTAATGCATAAGGTCTCAAATCCCAGTTGTGCTCTTCTACTTCTAGGCCAAAAAGTGTTGTCAAGAGGGAAGTAGTTGACCATGTAAATCCTCAAGAAACAAAATTTAATTGGTCATAAGAATAAATTCACAAAATTTGTTTTACAAGTATTGACATTTACAAACATATGTAAGTAACAACCTTTGGTATGTGTGTGTGTATATATATATATATATATTCCCACCCCATAAAACAAAAAAGAACTACATTCACCTATGAGCACTGCTATTGGACTCCATTGAGCTAGGGACTCGCAAGATATAAGAGCGGGCTCCACACATATGGGTAACATGTGGGGCTAACCAGGGAAGAAGCTAGTTAAGACCCAGAGGGGGCTGCAGCCCCTGCCCAGCTAACATGTATGTCTTGCGAGCTCTCAACCATCAGGAGTCTCAAAGCTCCTTTTTTTGGTTTTTGTTTATGTTTTTTTTATTTTTTTTAGCCTATAAGTCACAAATGTTGTTAACAAAAAAGGAAAAAAAAATCTACAATCCTATATTTTTTACGACTCACTACAACTAAAAACCTATGTAGGACCTCCAAAGAGGCTGGTCTGCCGGCCGACTTTCCGCGGCAGCCCGAAATTCTGATAAGCCCTGATCTCGCCGCCTAGCCCCGCTGTCACAATCACCATGCCCCATGCCGTTGCTTGAATGGTATGGCTTCCATGGCTGCCATAGTCAAACCACGACCAAGACGGAGACCAATAGGATGATGGAGTTGCCGCGGTAGCACAGATAGAAGGCGAGTCGCCATACCTAATTGAGGAGGCATCTGAATTGAACGACTCACCAATATTGTGTTCGGATTCAACCTGGGAGACTAGAGCAAGCTCCTCTTCTGTGACATTTAGGCTGCTATTCTCGGTCGCGCTTTTCTTTGGCAGAGGTGGCAAATGTTTCTTGCTGTTTGCTGCAGCAGAGATGTCTTCCTTAGTTGGTGAACTGCAGGCCGAAGGTGGCTGTGAGGACGATCGTTTCGAGTGTCGTTTTGAGTGCAATGGCAATGTCGTCGGTGGCTCACCCTTTATGGTGCCGGGCCATGGGATTGCTACGGAGACGTCTTTGCATTGGAATTGTTCATATGATGCGGTACTGACTGAGCTTCTTTTTCCAGAGGCTGAGGGTCTATGTTCTTCACGTTTCCAGACATAAACTTGAGAATCTTCGCTTGCTGATATCACATATTTGCTGTCCTGAGTGAATGAGGCTGCAATTTGGCTACTTGTGTTACGAAAACCTGTTAGGTAGAAAAGAGTCCAATATCATTTTTATTACAATAATGTAAAAATACAAGTTACAACAAAAATATCTTGTCAGTTTTGCACTGTTTTAGATATTCATAAGTTTTGTCCAATTTCACACTTTTAGTACAAAGTTCTTCTAGTGTAGTTCTATATTTAGAGACAATGTTCCAATGAGTTGATGGAGATACCTCTAAACTTATGAACGAAGTTTGGACCATCGAAAATTCGAATCCGTGAATCGGCTGAGGTAACGAGCACTTCAGATGGATTTGCTGGTGAAAACTGTTGATGAAATATACATTGTTGACTTGGTCAGAATTAAAACCAGTGATTATAGGGGCAAAAAAGAGTATTTGGACGGGGGGAACTAGAATTACCTGGAAACCAGTAATCTTTTTGGCATGGAATTTCTTCTTGGTTTGGAAATCAATCTGGCCTGTTTGACTCAGTTTGCAATCTAAATCATCAAAACAACAAACAATTGTCTGAATAAATAGTACAAAAAGTAAAATAATAAATGAACATGGACAATATTCTATTGTTATTACCTTCTGCAGTGTACGTGCGGCAGCTTCCTTTGTGTGAACCAATGAATGCACCCTAAATTATGTGAAACATATTGATCATCACTAAACTAAAATTACACACAATAATCAAAGTTGATTTGATGATATTTTCTGAAGTACTTTTAAAACCCATATCAGTTTTCTTCTAAAAATTATGGTAAAGAAGTTGACAAGTGAAAATGGAACAAGAAAGTAGTGAAAAATCAATGGAGGTGAATTTACCTGGCCATCAGGAGTGTAGCAAGCTGCAGTGACCATTTCATGAAGATCAGTCCAATCCACAACTTGCCTATCTGGTATGCTCCATATCCTCACCTTTGCATCAAGTGATCCACTAATGAAATAATCGTCGTTCATGGGGTTGAATTGTATGCAAGTTACTGCCAAGAGAGAGAGAGAGAGAGGAAAAAAAAAACCCCCCACATAAAAATTATAGTAGTTAACCCCATAAACAATTTGGTGTTTTATTATTATTATTATTATTATTATTATTAAGCCAAAACAAGCACAACCAAACAACAATCCATAATAGAATCTTATTAAAAATTGAGACACGACAAGAAAAGTCCTATGAACTTAAGAGCATAAAGTGAGGATCACTTTAAATGATGAAAATAGTCAATTTTCCTAAAATTCGCTCTTTTTTATCTTTGTTTTACTTGATATATTTTTGCTTATTTAAAAAAAAAAAAAAAGGAAAAATATTTACCATAGTCATTGTGAGCAAACAACTTTAAACAGCTCTTGCTCTCCAAATCCCACAATCTCACAGTTTTGTCCATTGAAGATGAAAGCAGCAGCTGCAAAAATCCACAACAACAAAATCATCATCACAAACAATATTAACAAAATCTCTCAAATACTCCACTACAGATCACAACCTCAGTTACCTGTAACCTAGACCAAGAAAGATCAAGAACATCATCCAAATGACCTTTGAAAGAGCAAACCGGTTTATCCGAGAGAGCAAACACAGTTTCAGGCACATGAACATAATCAGGAATATGATTCACTCTTTTGCTAGCCCCTCCTTTCCATTTCTTCTTCTTCTCCGCTGCAGCGTCTGACCAGTCCGATGAGGCACAAAACGACGGATGAAGAGGGGTCACGCTATTACTATTACTATTACCATTCCCACTACTACTATTAGTATTGCTGTTGTTTTGAGCATTCCCTTCTTCTCTCAATGACATAACTTCACATTCCTGAACTTCCCAAACACGAACTATTCGATCCTCACCGGCGCTCGCCAGAAACCGAGCGTCAGGGCTAAACTTGATCGTCCAAATAGACCCTTCGTGAGCTTGAATTTCTTGACACAAATGCAGAGCCGACAGCTCCTTGTACAACTTCCCGCTCTGCCGGACTTTTATCCACCCCGACGAAGCACTCGAATTCGAATTCTTCACGGGCGGTTTCTGCTCTGCCGGGGAAGGTGACAGCTGCGGCGGCGGTGGCGGCAGTGACAATGCAGGCGGTGGAGTCTCCCTCTCTTTCTCGCAGATTAGTCCGCTCATAGAATGCGCCACGCCTCTTATGCCGCTTTTAATCAAAGCAACCCCTCTTCTCTTGCTGATCATCCTCAGGCTCCTTGTAATGTAAGAGTAATTGTTCGCTCCTCCACCAGAATCAGTGACTTTTCTCTCACTCCTGCCGCTGATTCTCGACACGTTCTCGCGGCGCATCAGCTCCTTGACGACCGGGGAATACCCGACGCCCTTTTCGA